AGTGACTTGTCACACTTGGTGACAGAACAGGAACTGGGACCCATGCACCTTCCCCCACAGGGGGCTGTGCTGCATCACACAACACCCCTGCCTTGCACCCCTGCTTCCAACAGCAGGGCCAGACAGGAAGCCCTTCCCTGGGGTTCCTCCTGGGGTTCCTCCCAGGCACCAGGTGCAGGGGCCTGAGGCCACGGGACGGGGCAGAGGACAAAGCTTACAGTAGACTGTGGTTTACAGTTCTAGGTACTTGGATACAAAAAGAGCAAAACAGAAAAAAAAAAAAGCAGATAAAAATCCCTTCCATACATAATCAGTTGATAACTAATTTAAATAGTATAATCAAAGGTGACAGACAAGTGTGATGGATGAAAGAAAGAGTAGAGAAAGGCAAGGAGGGCAGAAGGAGAGCAGGTTTCAATTTCTGTGGTCAAGACAGATTGCATCACAAAGCTGGGCCAAGGCTTGAAGGGGTGAAGAGGTTAGCCGTGCAGCTATTTGGGGGAAGAGTGTTCCAGACAGAGAGCAAAGTTGGCACACGGGCTCTAAGGCGGGAGCGGCTGGCTTGTGTGGAGACTGTTAGAGAGGCCAGTTGCTGGAGGGGAGAGCAGCGGGAGGGGAGCTCAGAGAGAGGCCCGAGATCAAGGCTGCAGCAGGCGGGAACTCGTGTAGGCTGTTGCTAGGACTTCGGCTTCTACTCTGAGTGGGGTGGGAGCCACTGCAGCGTTCTGAGCTGAGGAGTGACAGGACCTTGCGTTTTTGTCTTAAAAAGATCCCTCTGGCTGTTGTGTAAAAACAACAACAACACCACCACCAACAAAACCTAAGGAGAGAGAGATTGAAGTAGGAAGACCAATTAGGTGCTTACTGCAGAAACCGCCCTGGAAATTTTATGTGTTATAAGGCAATGAGCGCTGTAACAGGCACACCTCAGAGATACTGTGGCTCTGTTCCGGACTGCATAAAATAAAGTGAGTATCACAATAAACTGTCACAAGAAATTTTTGGTTTCCCAGTGCATGTAAAAGTTATGTTTGCACCATACTGTCGTCTATTAAGTGTGCGACAGAATTATGCCTAAAAAAACAACATAAATACCTTAATTAAAAATACTTTATTGCTAATAAGCAGACCATCATCTGATCCTTCAGTGAGTCATAATCTTTTGCAATAGTAACATCAAAGGTCACTGTCACAGATCACCATAACAAATACTATAAATTTTGAAATGTGAGAATTACCAAAATGTGACACACACAGAGACATGAAGTGAACAAATTCTGTAGGGAAAATGGCTTCGATAGACTTTCAGGGTTGCCACAAACCTTCAATTTGTTAAAAAAAAAAAAAAAAGACAATATCTGCAAAGCACAATAAAACAAGGCCTGCCTGCATAGCTACCTGTTTGTCCACATGGAGGCTCTGATGAGGCGACAGCTGAGAGGTGGGGTGCGGTGTTTGGATTTAGGATATGCGTATTTTGAAGGTAAACCCAGTAGGATTTTCTAATGAAGCGGATGTGCTGTTATGAGAGAAAGAGGCGAGTAAAGATGCTTCTAAGGTTTTGTGCCTGAGCAACTAGAAGGATGGAGGTGCCATCAGCTGAGAAGGTCAAGGCAAGATTGTAGAGCAGATTTGGGGGGAAAAATTTTAAGTTCTGTGCTGGGTATGTTAGTCTGAGATTCTTCAAAGGGAAAAGTTAGGTAGGCAGCGAGTATATAAGTCTAAAGTTTAAGAACAAGGTCCAACAAGAAATAGAAATTTGAGGTAAAATGGCATTTACTCTCTGAATGAGATCGACGAAGAAATAAGGGCACAGGCGTCTGAACTCTGAGAAGAGTTAACAGTGTCAGGCTGGGCAGAGGAGGAGGAAATGGGGGAGGAAACGGAGAAGGAGCACACAGCGTGTTGGGAGGAAAACCAACGGTGTGGTGTCCCAGCAGACACTGTCAAGAAAGAGGTATCACCTGTGTCAATTGCACTGAGAAGGCAAGAAAGATGAGCACTGAGAATTGACCACTGGATTTAGTCACGCGGGGGTGGTGCTGAGCTTCCTAAGAGCCATGTCAGTGGGACAGCTGGAGACACAACCCCACTCCGAACAGGCTTGAAAGTCAGAATGGGAAGTATGACAGTGTGGTACTGAGACAAGGGCAAAGAGCCAATAATACAGATGGGAATCCAGAAACGACCCCACACATGTGGACAGACTCACACACTTGGTATAGGCGACAAGCTTGCTCTGCAGAACAGTGGGACAAAGGAAGACATTTTCAGGGGGGAAGGTATAGCTCAGATGGTAGAGCATATGCTTAGCATGCAGGAGGTCCTGGGTTCAATCCCCAGTATCTCCTCCAAATATAAATGAATAAATAAACCCAATTACTTCCCCCTCATTAAAAAAAAAGGAAGACATTTTCAAAATATGGTGCTGAGACAATAGGATATTCATTTGGGGGAGAAGAAAATGATACATGGCTCCTGTGTCACTTATGCAACAATTAATTCCAGGTGGCATGTAAGTCTATAATTGAAGGGCAAAACAATAAAAGGAGAAAGGAACATAGGAAACAATAAAAGGAATACAGGAGAGTATGTTTATTCATGACCTTAGGGTAGATATAAAGAGCATGTCTAAAAAGGAAAAAACTGAGAAACTGAATTACATCCAAATAAAAGACTTCAGTTCTTTAAATTCACAATAAAGAAATGAAAAGCAAGCCCCAGAGCGGGAGAAGACATTTGCCACACACGTAATTGACAACGGACTTGCATCCGTACTAAACAAATAACTCCTACTAATTGGTAAGAGAAAAGATAACTCAATAGAAAAATAGCAATAGAAAAATAGAAGACAACTCAATAGAAAAATGGGCAATAGGCTTAAAAAGACACTTTGTGTCCTAGATTTTCAAAGTATGGTGCTCTTCAGAAGCAGACCCTGAGAAGGAGTTTGTGGTGCAAGATGTTTATTAAAAATCAAGATGCTTATTGTGAACAAAATGGGGGAGGAATTGCAGGATTGGCAGAGAAAGGAGTTGAGCTTCGATGTCAGCCCAGCAAAGCCTGGACTAACCTAGTGGGGGTTGCCCAGTAATGTGTCCTGTGTCCCATGTCCCATGTCAGGTTGAAATGGCTGTGCCTGCAGAGTCCGCCTTGCTCAGTCAGAGCATGGGCTCCCCAGAAGAGTGTGACCTTGGACAAGGTGGTTCTCTGTGGTTGAGGCTGACCCTGAATGCGCTGCTGGCTGGAGGCTGTCTGGGGACCACACTCTCCGCCACTGGGCAGCCAGTCCTTCTAGGAAGGAGGAGCTGAGTGCTGTGTCTCCATGTCTGCTACAGTTCACAAAACCGTATATCCCAAGGTCCAAAGACATACATGAAAGCCATTCAAGCTCTTTATCCATCAGGGAAATGCAAATGAAAACCACAGTGAAGTATTACTACATGCTCACCAGAATGACAGAAGCAGAAGAGACTGACAATACCAAATGGTGTAAGAACATTTAGCAACTGGAAATCTCATCTACTTCTGGTAGGAATGTAACTATGTAGATCACTTCATAAAGCAGTTTGCCATTAGTTATTAAACTTGACAGTGATGCACAGGCAGTAACCTAGCAGTCATACTTCCAGGTATTTGTATGCACATAAACACCAATAGACGTGTACAAGAATGGTCATAGAAGCCCTATTCATACCAGCTCCAAACTAGAAATAACCCAAATACTGATTGATAATAGAATGGATAAATAAAGTCTTCTATGTTTATATGAAGGTTGTGGTGAGTAGCTTCCAAGATGGTCCACAGTGATTCCTGCCTCTTGGTTTTCACATACTTGAGTGGTCCCCTCCCACACTGGACCAGGATGGCTGGTGTGATCAACAGCACACAGCAGCAGTGATGGTGTGTCACTTCTGAGATTAGATTATAAAAAACATTGCAGCTTCCTTCACTCATGTTTTTTCTCTTGGACTATTTGCTCTGGGGAATCTGTGTCATGAGCAGCCCTATGGAAAGGCCCATGTAGCAAGGAGCTGGTCTCTTGTCAAAAGCCATGTGAGTGAATTTGGAAGTGGATCTTCTAGCCTGAGTTAAGTCTTCAGAGATTACAGCCCTAGATGACAGCTTGACTGTAACTACGTGAGAGACCCAAAACCAAACATCCAGCAAAGCCACAAATGATTCCTGACTCTCAGGACACAGGTTGTATAATTAATGTCAGTTTTAAGCTGCTAAATCTTGGGGTAATTTGTTACACGACAATCAATAAGTAATGCAGTGGGATTCTATAAAGTAATGAAAATAAATGAAATGCAGTTACATTTGTCAACATGGGTGAAAACCTAGCCATAAGACACATTTTTGATTATTCCATTTTTTTTTTTAAATTGAAGTAAAAGTCAGTTACAGTGCGTCAAAATGTCTGGTGTACAGTATAATGTCCCAGTCATGCATATATATATACATATATTTGTTTTCATATTCTTTTTCATTAAAGGTTACTACAAGACATTGAATGTAGTTCCCTGTGCTATACAGAAGAAATTTGGTTTTTTTAATCTATTTTTATATATAGTAGTTAACATTTGTAAATCTCCAATTCCCAAATTTATCCCTTCCCACCCTCTTGCCCCCAGTAACCATAAGATTGTTTACTATGTCTGTGAGTCTGTTTCTGTTTTGTAGATGTGATTATTCCATTATTTAAAGTTCAAGAAACAGGTAAAACTAAAAGTACAGTGTTCAGGGATGCATGCCTAGAAGGTAAAACAATAAAATAAAGAAAGGAAGTGATGCTCACAAAAGGCAGGATGGTGGCTACCTCTGGGGGCAGACGGGGTGGGGGAGGGTAGGAAGTGGGAGGGGACATGAGGAAGGACTCTGTGCTCTTGCTAATGTCCTGCTTGACCTGGATGGTGGTAGCAGTATTTGTTTTGGATAAATCATTAAGCTGTATAGTTCTGTTTTTACCCTCCACTCCCCCTTTTTTGAATATGTGTTGTATTTCAAAATAAAAAGGCAGAGAGAATGGGAGGAGAGAACTGCAGACAGAAAGCGTACACAACACTTTAGAGGAATGTTGTTACAAAGAGGACCAAAGAAAGAGGGTAGCAGCTGGAAGAGAAACGAGATCAAGATTTTTTTTTTTATTAAGAGGGGAGAAACAACAGTAGGTTTTACACGGAAAGAGATCATCTACTGGAGAGGAAAAACTTACAAGACAAAAGAGAGGTATTGTTGGAGCCAAATTCTGGAGTAGGAGAAAGGGATGGGTCTGGGCTAAGCTGGGTGCCAGGCTGTGGGGAAACTGAATTAGGCAGGGTTCTCCAGAGAAAGAGAACAAATAGAATGTATCTATAGGTATCTATAGATATACATCCTATTAGTGAACCTGTATCTACCTATCTCTATATCTACATATCTGAGAGACAGGGACAGAGAGGTAGCAAGATTGAGAAAGAGACGGAAATTGAGATTTTAAGGAACTGGCTCACGCTACTGTAAAGGGTCCAAAATCTCCAGGGTGGACTGCTGGCAGGCTTGGAGATCAGGGAAGAGTTGATGCAGTCTTGAGTCCAAAGGCAGAATTCCCTCCGTCCTTGGGAGAAGTCAATCTTTTTCCTTTTGAAGCCTTCAACTGATTGGATGAGACCCACTCACATTATGGAGGACAGACTGCTTTACTAAAAGACTACTGACTGAAATGTTAATCTTGTTTTAAAGAATTCCTTCACAGTAACAACAGCCCAATGTTTGAGCAAATATCACAGTACCTTGACCCAGTCAAGTTGACACATAAAATTAACCACCCACCATGAAGACTTTAACGGTGTTTGTGTTATCTTGCTTGGGGTGGAGAAGGAGGGTGAGAGACAGTTGGTCAGCTATTAGGCCGTCTCTTGCCCTTGGGTTTCAGTTAGAACACCTGCCTCTTGATTTTTCTGTCGGCCTTGGAGAACATCCACACAGCATTGTGGGAAGGGGAGAGTTTGGGATCACTGTGTGAATAATGTAAAACAAGACCCAAGACCTGGATCTTTTTATTTTGAGTTTGGAGCAAGAGTCTGAGGATATAACTAATTCTGAGTGAACAAGACATCTGCTTGTATTTTTTTCTTACAGTTTGGCACGTCTTATATTTGAAAAGGTGGATTCCGTATCATTTACTCAAAGTGGTCTAAATGGTGGGGCCATCAGAGCATTAAGCTATCTAATACCTGCAGAGGAGATGAGCAAAGATGCTCTCAGGAACAGTGGGATTGCCACTGGGGGATTTTCTACCAGGGGCTCAGTTCTGCCACCAGAACTAGGTGACCAGGTAGATGTTTGGGGAACTCGTAGCTGTGATTCCCTTGTTCGTGAAGACCCTGAAAGAGGTGTCTTCGGTCACTTTCTTCTTCCTTGTCCCAGGAAGCACTAGTTCCTCCAGGACTCTCGCCCCGCCCCGCCCCGCCGTGCAGGCGCTCAGAACCGGGTGTCCGGATTCAAGCGGGAACGGCCTGAGCGAGTGGCGCGTCCAGCTGTGGCCGCCAGGGAGCGCCAGCCGCCGGCGGAGGCCAGGCACTGGCTGGCGGGATCCGGGACATCCGGGACCCGTCTCTGAAGCCCGCGGCCCGAACCGCTGTGGCGGGATCGCGGCTGAAGTTCCCCAGCGCTGCTGGCCTCGGGTATCGCCGTTTTACCCACCCTGAAGTCCCGACCACGTCCCCTTTGCCCTTTCCCACGACGGAGAGCTGCTTCTCCTTGGACCCCTGGAGGCAAAAGGGAGTCCCTGCCGCTTCGCTCCTTGGCCTGTCGGATGCACAGAGCGGGCGCCCTGCCCCCAAGGGACTCGCCCGCTGTCCCCGGGCCCTAGCCCCCTGCCCCCCACCCTGGGGGAGGACAGCTACCTACGGTCGTTGCGTCAGAGGGGTGACCCTGTGAACTTTAGGGCCTCTCGCTAGAGCAGGGCGGAAACACAGCCACCCCCCGGATAAATATAATCCTCTTTAGGACGCGCCGCCACACTCTCCATGGAACCGTCAGGGGCCTCGCTTTGGGGCCAGAACAGGGTGGCCAGATTTAGCACACACACAAAAGGATGCTCAGGTAAACTTGAATTTCAGATGGACAACAAATTATTTTTTAGTATTTAAGTGTGCCTCATGCAATATTTGGTACATACTTTTGCTTAAATTTATAGTAAATATATATTTTATATTATATATTTGGAAAAATACTTATACTAAATATATATTACATTTTATATACATATAAATATTTAGTAAATATACATATATGTCTATAGTATATACATATAGTGTGCTAAATGTGTGTATGTGTGTGTGTGTGTGTGTTTATTCCTTGTTTACCGGAAACTCAAATGTGACTGAATGTCCTGTATTTTTTTTCTGGCAACTCTAGCCAGGAATGAATTTATGTGGAGAGAGGAAGGGAAAGGTGGGGGCAGATAAATGTGTGTGAAGCTGTCACTATGAGATACTCATTTCTGTTTCCTCTTTTTAATGTCTTATCTATACATTTTTAATTCCATTTATAGAAACCTGACTAGTTAAAAAAAATCCAATTTCTCTGTTTTGTTTCAGTTAAACTCAAGTACAACCTTGTCTGTAACTTTTTTTTCTTAGCAGATTTTAAAAAGAAGCAACTGATCATTTAGATCATGGAGTTCAGCTAAAGCTGTCACTCTTTATGTCTATGGAAACTTTCCTTTCGAGCAACTTAATATTTTTCTATTAATTTATTTTTAGAGACAAATCTATATTTTGCTATTTTGGCAGAAAGCTTTACCTTCTGACCAGAGACCAAAGAACTGTTGGGTGGGGCAGAAATATGGAAGGCATGATACCGCCTGCACACACCCTACACACCCTGACCAGGGCCTTTGGGAGCCTCCTGGGACCTCAATTCTGGGTAGCCCACTACCCAGAATTTCACACCCACTATCCAATGGGACGGACACACACACACACACACATACACACACACACACACACACACACACACAGTATATGTGTCCATTACATTTAGATTTTGAGTCAAGGGACTCAATCCCCATGAGGGACCGGATCCTGTATATTCCTAGTAACACTGCTTGACCTTTGCTAGCTCGTTTCCCTCACTCCGTTGTGGAATCCCACCTGAAACAGGACCGGCTTAGATGTAGATAAGCTCCTGGTTGGTCCTGACCTGCTCAGTCTTGGAGGAGAGGAAGCCAAGTGTGTTAGCGTAGTTTCTCTAGGGCTGCTGTAACAGAGTACCACAAACTGGGTGGCTTAAACAACAGAAATGTATTGTTTCAGTTACGGAGGCTAGATTTTTCAAAATCAAGGTTTTCTTCCTTCTGAGGGCTGTGAGGAAAGGATCATTCCAGGATCTCTCTTTGGCTTGTAGATGGTGTCTTTTCTGTGTCTCTTTACATTGTTTTCCCTCTAAGCTCATCGTCTCTGTGTCCAAATTTCTCCTTTTTATAAGGGCACCAGTCATAGAGGATTATAACCCACCCTAATGACCTTGCTTTACCCTGATTCTCTCTGTAAAGACCCCATCTCAAATAAGGTCATGTTCTGAGGTAATGGGGGTTAGAATTTCAACATATCTTTTTGTGAGAAACAGTTCAGTCCATAACCCCAAGGAAGTGCTGATGAATGAAGGTGCAATTCCCTGGTTCCTGATAGATGATTCTCTGAGGGTCCCATCAGCACCTCAATAGACAGGGCATTGGCTACCAGGCTGGAGCTTTGGTCAGGAAGCTCCTAGAACCCAGGAAGTGCTGGCTTCCTGGGAGAGCTCACTGTTCCTGTCAGACACTTAAGCTTGGTTTGAGAGGCCAGCTGAGCTCCTGGCAGGAGAAGTGCTTTCCTCTCCACAGTGAGCCTTTCCGTGATGGAGATGCTCACCTCAGGGAGGGGTCCTTCTGTCCCCAAGGGCAGAGGCCCACTTGTCTCCTCTCACTGCAGGTGGCAACGGGACTCTGAGCAGAGCATCCTCTACAGATTTGTCCAACATGTGTGGCACCCAAGTTCAACAGGGAGCTGGGAATTGGTCCAGGAAAGAAAAACAAGGGCAGGCATTCGGAGGACTTGAGGTAAAAATTTAATAACGTGCAGTAAATGTTCATAGTAATTTGGGTCTCATAAAAGCCTGCCTCCTCACACTGTATCCTCTTACTCGGACAATAAAACTCTAATGCAACTCCGTGTTCTGTCACACACAGTTGAAATCTGAGGATTCAGAATAATGCCTTGCCTATTTCTTTCTAAGGGAGTATGGTCACTAAAGAGTTTCAGACTCAGACTTTGGTCACCTTATCGTCCCATAAGATTTTAATATTCTAATTACTAACAGGAAATCATGCAAGCAAGGAAGAAAATCCCAGTTCCTCCATTAATTCATAGAGACAAAAAGAATCCAATCAATCATTCTGTAATTTCCGGAGAACCATCACCTTTCTAGTAGCTGCTAAGTCCAATATGAAAACAGGCTAATAGCACATGCAATCTCCCACCATTTCTGGTCCCCCTGGGGATAGTCAGGGCTATCATGTCGCATTAGGACAGATTTTTTGACCCCAAGCCTAATTTCAGATTTTTTTTGTGTGTGCATGCTGAAGTGTGATCCTTTATGTCACTAAGTTGGGGATATGAATTTTTAATCTCCCTAAAATATATAGTGTGTTGGAGGTGCAAAATTTGGCTTGTGAACAAATGGGATGGAGAATTGACTGCAGGGAGGGCGTCCCCTTGCTGTCACTGCGAGTGCTGTTTGGGACTCCAGAGGGAGCTATTTGGAAAATGAATTGGATTCTGTCCTTAAAAATAAAGTTATTTGGTAAATTGAGGAAGCCTTGATCCAGGTGAGTGCCCAGGAGCAGCTGGGGCTTAACACCCTTCTGCACACGTTTAAGGACATTGGAGGCTTATGAGTGCTAATTAGGACCCGTAAGTCATTTAAATCATGAGTCTCTTGATCCATTGTGAGCACATTAATAATTTTTCTCAATACTTTCAAGGTAAAAAGAGATTATGGAGAGAAGACTGTTTAATTTGATCACTTGTGTATGTGGGCACCAACACCCTTTTCCTGCCTCACCTCCTTGGCACCGTCCTTGGATGACACATATCCCCGTGCTTTGGGGAGTCAGCCCTGCTCCAGGAGACCCACTCACCCTCTCAGAGCCACTATGTGCTTTCTTTCTCTCAGTCTCTTCATTTCCTTTTCTCCTCCATACACATTCACATCTGTTTCCCATCATTTAACTGTTCTTTGTCATGGGGTACATTTTATTTTCCAGTTTTCCTGTCTACCATCTCACGTGTAGGCTTTTCTTTAACAAACACATTCTCATTTCCTTATACTGTGTCCTGGATTGTTTCCGCTACTCAGTTCGCTATTGTTATAATTTTTCTTTGTCTTCTTTTTTTCTGTTGCTTTGGTTTTTCTCTGTCTGTTGTAGGGGTAGGGAAACCAGAGTGCAGGTGCTGAAGCTGGTCAGCTGGACATCGCCAGCAGCCCTGGTTCCATACCCTCCAGCCTCTTCGCTAGTGGCCCCTCTGATTCTTGTGAGAGCAGTTGTGGTAAATCCCTTTCCCTCCCCCTCCAGCCTCTGTTTCGGGAAGTTTAGGTGGGTCATTCGCAACTGGCAACGTGTTCAGTCTCCTTCCCCGAGGTTGAATGTGCCTGTGGGTGTTGGGCTCTTCTGCAACTCCCCTTTGTAGGGCCTGTGGGAGGACAGCTCAGAAGTCACTAGCAGGGTCGGCGGGAAGAGCAGGCAGGTTGATGAAGAAACTGGTAACAGAAGTATATGGTGTGTGGGGAGTCATTTTCCTGGATTACTTTGAGTAAGAGTCTTCTCTACTATCTTGTGCTCAAAGACATGTTATTAAAAGTTTCAAGATTGCTGCAGTACAGGTGCTCTAAGTTTGGTGAAGTCTAGATTTTTTTTTCTTTTTGCCTTGATGACCTTCTAAAGGGGCACTGGAATGTTGTTCCTGACTACTCTTTGAGAGTCTCCTGCCTTCCCCAGGGAACGTAACGTACCTTTTTTCTCTGGCTGCCTTCAAGATTTGCTTTTCATCTTTTATTTTCTGCAGTTTGAAAACGATATACCAAGGTATGATGTTTTTGTTTGTTTGCTGCTTGATGTTTCTGAGCTTTTGGGTTTGTTTGCTGTCTGTCAGGAAGTTTGGAAAATTCTCAGCCATTAGTTCTTTCAATACATCTTCTGCCTCACTCTCTCCCTCTTCTTCTTCTGGTATTCCCATTGCATATATATCAGGCCACATGATATTGTCTCACTTTAAATATAAAAACATAGATACATTATGAGGAAATGATGAAAAGTGAATGTCATACAAACAGTGAAGAAAGCTAGAATAGCTATATTATATTAGTACCTGAAGAAGTAGACTTCACCCTTAGGAGTGTTCCCAGGGATAAATGGTGCTGACACATAATGATAAAGGGTTCAATCCTCCAAGAAGACACAGCGATACGAAATGTGTGCCTATTAACAGCAGTACTCAAAGAGACGCAGAGAAAAGCTGCTAGAACTGGAAGGAGAAAGAGAAAAAGCCACAGTTACAGATGGAGACTTCAATCATTGATAGAAAAAGTGGACAGGAAATCAGTAGGCACAGAAGATCTGAATAATATCATTAACCAACTTGGCCTAATTTACGATTATAGAATATTCCACTCAGCAGCAAAAAACAGTCTTTTCAACTGCACACAGAATATTCTCCAGAACAGACCTTATATTGACTCATAAAGAAAACCTTAACACACTTCTTTTTAGTTGATCTTTTTGTTTGTTTGTTTTAGTCTCTTTTGTGGGGGATAATTAGGTTTATTTATTTTTTAATAGAGGTACTGGGGATTGAACCCAGGACCTTGTGTATGCTAAGTATGGGCTCTACCGAAGAGCTATACCCTCCCTCTCCTTAACATAGTTTTTAAAATGGAAACCTCTTCTTGGCTCTTGGAATTTTGGCCCCTGTGTGAGAGTGGTGGTGCTGCCTGGAGAATGTGCAGAGTGCCCCTGCTGGGCCAGTGGGGTGGAGGGCAGGTGGAAAGGTTTAAAAAAAAGGAAATCTCACAAAGTATCTTCTTGGAGCATAATGGAATTAAACTAGAATTCTGTAACATTAAGATATCTGGAAAATCACCAAATATTGGCAGTTAATACACTTCTATGTAACCCATGGGCCTCAAGGTAAACTTGAAAATCCTTTGAACCAACCAAATAAAAATGAAAATGCATTATATCTAATTTGTGGATTGCAGCTAAAGAAGTGCTTAGAGGAAATTTTATAGCATTCAAATGCTTATATTAGAGAAGAAGCAGTGTCTCCAACCAGTAATCTAAGGTTCTACCCTAAGAAACAAGAAAAAGAAGAGCAATTAAACCTAGAACAGGCAGAGCAAAGGAAATAATAAAGAGCTTATATCAATGAAATTGAAAAAAAAAAGAAAAACCTTCCTACCTCCCACTCTCCCCACCAGTCCTAAGTCCCTGTGTACATCATTGGATGCAAAGAGAGATGTGTGGAGGAGGAGGAATTCATTCAGTTACACAGGTCAGACTTGTGGATATTAGCTCTCTCCCTCCCAGGAAAAACTAGATGTTACAAATGTTTTTTTTTTTTAATATTATAAGTTTTCTATGTCATTTCTAAAGCTAACATCTGTTGAGAGCTTGTAACATTCCAGGTATTGTTATAAGCACTTTAAATGTATTAGTTCATGTAATCCTTACAAGTAACCTATTTTTACCCCCATGTTATAGATGTGGAAACTGAAGCACACACAAGTAATCTGCCAAAGGTGACTCACGTAATATGTGATAGAGCCAAGATCTGAATCCAGGCAGTCTGGCCTCAGAGCTCAGATTTTAAAGGAGTGTTTTTGCTGGTATCTGTGATCGGGGGTCCAGGATGGAAAGGGCTGTATTTGTTCCCCCTGCATCTAGCACAGCGTCTGGCAAACAAAGCTCTGGATAAGGGTTAGTTGGCTGATTTATAACTTGAGACCATTTTAGAATAAAAATGGAAAGAATCTTGGCCTATTAGAGAGGTGACTTCAAAGTTGCTAAGAGACTAGTTCTTAAATGTTTTCTCCCCCTAGAATAAATGATAATTATGTGATATCATAGAGGTGTTAGCTAAGGCTACAGTGGTAATCACTTTGCAGTATATAAATACATCAAACCAACATGTTGTACATCTTAAATGTACACAATGTTATAAATCAGTTATGTCTCATACACAAAAAAGGTGATGACTACAATGCTACACTTTATTTATAAACCTATTTATAAGTTACTGATGCTGGTCAATACAGATGACCTTCCGCTTTATATTGTGTGATGTGATATGATGGGTGGAGGGAGGGAGATGTTGTCTTTGGGGTTTGAGCAGATAGATGGAGAGAGAGGTTTCTCTGGTAACATCACAAAAGTCATGGAAGAGAGCAAACAATTCAATCTCTAGAATCTTCATATCCTTTCTCTGAGTTAACTGACATTATTCCCACTCTCAGGGGCCCACACAGAGGTTAGGTAACTTGCCCAAGGCTGCTCTGCCAGCAAGCAGTGGGTGACGGGTCCACAGAGCTGGCTGTGTGGACTACGCACTGCAGTAGAGGAGCAGAGGCTCAGATGGCTCCCCCTTCACTGCCTTCAGGTCTTAACACACCTTCACCTCCAGGAGACTTTCTCTGCTACTCTAATTTTAATTACAGCCCTTCCTCCTTACTGCAACCCTGACTGTCTCTATCCCCCTTCCTTGCTTAAATGTTCCTCTTTGTCACTCATTACCATTTAACATGTACATATTTTATTTATTTATCTTGCTTATTGTTTGTCTCTTTGCAGTAGAAAGTAAGCTCCATGAAGCTAGAGATTTTGGTCAGTTTGTTAAACTGAGCCTAGAATAGTGCCTGGTACACTGAAGGCATTACATATTTGTTGAATGAATGAATGAGTAAAGATTCCCTGTCATTTCACTTAATATAAATTAGGGGAAGGACATTCAGAAGTCAGGAATCTGTGAGAATCTGTATGCAAGACAGCTCAAAAGGTGCCTATTTTGTATGTCTATGATGTCTGGGTGCTAGGCGCACAGTGGGTCACATCGTTTATCCCAGATCAGGACCCAAAAAGTCTCTGCTTTCACTCATTCAGATGTTCACAAATGTTCAGAAAATTAGTATTTCTCATTCATTCATTTATCATTTAACAAACATTTATTAAGTGCCCACTGTGTGCCAGGCATTGTTCTATACACTACATTGCTCATTGGATCTCTCCAAGAAAAAAAATCCAGTATCCAACTAGAAAGCAATGGTAAGTATTTTCATAAAGTATATGTAATAACAGACATTTTTAATTATGATTTTAAAAAAGGCAGTGTAATTAGGTTTATATTAAAAATTTTTTGTTTTAATTTTTACTTTATAGTTGAATTTTATTATGTATTTTTAAAAATACCCACTCTTCTTAGGTGAAAAAAATCATGCTCATAGTATTTGTGAGCTCCTCCACTCTTAGAGGTAGAAGATCAATGATTTTTTTTCTATAAAAATGAGCATGCTTAATTTTTTATTTAATTGATTTTATGTATAAATGTATCTATCTATTGAGAAACAGATTAAAAAGGCCAAATAATTCTATAAGATGTATATCAAAAATAGTTGTCTCCTGTCCCTACTCTCTAAAGACAACCATAGTTTTAGCTCTTCCTTCTGATATTTGCTTAGATTTCTAATTGCTTTGCATGTATTGCCCTTTCTTGATTATTTTTTGTTTTTGATATAGTCTGTTGATCTTTTACTTTGGAAGATGAAGGTGTAGCTTGAAGAACTCATCCCACATTTTCCTCCTTCCATCTTCCCAATAAAGTTATGGCATAATTTTTAGTGAAACCAGTACTTAGTGATAATATTGTTTTGAAAGTGTATATATTATTTAGAATTGAATCATATAATGTACTACAGTTATTTTTTCTTTATCTTTCTCTCTCTCCCACTGGGTTAATAATTCTCCCTCTCTTTTTTTGTTTGCTTGGTTTTTTAGTGCTAATCACAAATTTATCCCCAAATTATTCACCAGCACTAGAACACTTTCATTATATTTATGCAGTTCCTTACCACCTAGTTTTTTCTTTGGAGACATCCCTCCAGGATGGGCAACTCACTAGGTCCATTGATTATCTGTTATTCTGGAATTCCCCCTCACCCTTATTCTGGAATGAATCACTCCTACCAACTGCCCCTGATGATTTGTCCATCTTCAGACACTCCTGAACCAAGAGCTTTAGAGGACACTAGGGAGGAATTGAAGATGGGCCAGACCTGACATCATGCTTTCTTTGCCACCCCTCCTGTTTGCTGCATGGGGCTAAAGGCTAAATGGTCACCTCTGGGACTCTGGAGGGCCACAAGCTCTGCCCAAGTGGTGGTAAGCCAGCGCCAACTGTGCCCTGTTATTTGTGGGGAGAAATTTACAGAGTCCCTACTGCTCATTCAATAATGGTGAGGTTAGTCTGGGACGTGTTGGGCTATGATACTGGTTGGAATAAGATTTAAGCCAATCAGCTTGCCCTAGCACTGTGTACAGTGCTTATGTAAGGAGCCAGCTATGACTTGAGAGGTAATGTAATCACAGCCCTACTAGGCAGGGCTGTGGCAACCCTAGGGCAATTAGGGACTTGATAAAGAATTGATCTACGTCAAGAAAATGCATCCATGAATGGCTATTGTAAATAGTGCTGCTATGAACACTGGGGTGCATGTATCTTTTCAAGTTTGAGTTCCCTCCAGGTATATGCCCAGGAGTGGGATTGCTGGATCATACAGAAGGGATAAATTGGGAGTTCAAGATGTGCAGATACTAACTACTATATATAAAACAGATAAACAACAAGTTTATACCATATAGCACAGGGAACTATATTCAATATCTTGAGTAACCTATAATGAAAAAGAATATGAAAACAAATATATGTATGTATATGTATGACTGAAACATTGTGCTGTACACCAGAAACTGATACAACATTGTAAACCGACTATATTTCAATACCAAAAAAAAAAATTAAAGAAAAGAAAAAAAGAAAAAATGAACAAACAAAAAAAGAAAATGCTAGGGAATATACCCTTCCAAGGTTGAAAGACCCTTCACTTCATAATTCCTGAAGAATGGGCTGTCATAGTGCCTGGTATTAAACCAGGCAAGAGCCACAGGCTACCAGTGACTTCTGGGTGATCTGTCCCCAGTAGTAAACCTGATAAATATCATAAACAAAGAAGAATATCAGGGAAAACACCCATTGTTATGGGGTAGGGAAACCAAAACCTTGAACTCATGGGATGTGGATAGGAGCACATTAGGCCTATGAATTTCTGGACATCCAGGGTTGGGGACCACAATGCCCAGAAACTGGTCACCCAGAACTCACAACTGGCAATCTAACCCTCAAACACCCCAAGACACTTACTCCATAAAGCTACTCCCTTGTTCAGGGTATACACGTTCATAAGCCCAGGCAGAAGTAGAAGGGCGCAGTTCCTGGAACATTGTGATGCTTCCTGATGGTTCCATACCATCACCTCTCAATGCACATCCAGAGTGGGCTCTGATAGTGGGTAAAGAATAGCAGCCTGCCCTGAATTCTACCTACTGGATACATGAATCATGTATGGATGTTCAGAGGCTCCCTGAGAGAAAGGAGGTGGGGAGGGAAATTGAGACTGGGAGTCAAGAACCCAGGATAAGCTTCAGAACAGCGTTTGGATATACAGTTCCCGATGTATGAAGGGACAAAGGGCATAGGAGAGATTGGACATATGTTGCTGTAAGAATGGTGGCTTTGAGAAATGTGATACTCCAAAACTTCATGGCCTTAGATCATATCCCAGCTGAAAAGGGAGAAAAACTTGATATTGTGGGGAAGACTGGCATTTGTATTCCAGACAACTTCCCAAATACATAGAATTTAGCAAGACATACATATAAGGAAATGGCTAAATTTAGGCAGACTCTGACTGAGCCCTGGGATATGTGGTCCTGATTCTCAGTTGTTTTTTTTGTTTGTTTGTTTTTTTAGAAAATGAGAGCTTATGTAATATTATGTATGTTATGCTTTGCTTTGTATAAATTGGTTGTATTAAAATACTGATTGACAGATGTCATCACCTGTTTGAGGAGTCATCACACCTATCTGGGCCATCAAGAGTTATTAGTAGGAAAGCTACTCCCATTCCTGACCAAAGAGATGGATGATGATACATTCTGTGCTGCTTTAGAGGCCCAGAGACAGTGGGGATGCCCCCACGTTGTTGCCAGGCCCTGGGGGGATAGTCTTGTGATGTGGTTAGAGGTTTAGTATTTGAAAACTGGACTTAACCTAAAGTGTTACCTAAAATGCAGTTTTATCAGTTAAGATGTTGATGATGTGACCTCTGGATGGATAA